CTATGAGCCCTTTGAGGCCCCATACTTCGATCCCGCAGCTGAGTTGGGGGAGTATCAGTCCTTTGAGAAGTCTGTGAGTGCACCAGGCGTTGAGCCCCCCGATCTGGTACCGCTCAGTCATCGCCCGGATTCCGTGTCCGGAGTTCGTAGCTTTGGTGCACCATTCCTGGAGATGTCTCCTCCACTTCCAGTCTGGTGTGATGAAATACCCGAGCCACCGGAGGCATTCTTGGGGGTGCAGGAGATTGTCTCCCACCATGGGGCTGAGGGTCGAGTTCTTTTTTGTGCGAATATGGATGTATTCGCCTTTGGTCCCCGAGAAGGTATACCCCCACGTCTTGGCCTGTCGGGCCATTTCGTCGATGGTGGTCTGGTGCGTGTTTTGTCCTTCGTCCCTTCTGGTGTAGGCTGTTGCGAGCAGGATATCGTCGACGTACGCGAGGACGGTGGAGCTTGTGCCATTCGTGTCATTGGGTTTCACGCCAAGTATGTCTTTGGTGCTTATGAGGAACAGTATGGGCAAGAGTGGGGATCCCTGAGGTGTTCCCACACTCGTGTGAAAGGCTTGCGATGTGCGTCCGTTGAACCGATAGGACGTTTGGCGTCCGTGCCCCCAGTGGTGTACCCATTCCGCGAGGTAGGCGTCTTTGCTTTGTATTCTGTCGCATACCATGTCCAGTTTTAGGTGGTCGAAGCCTCCTTCTATGTCCAAGGCCGACAGGCAGATGTTCTTCTTTGAGTTGTTTTCCACGAAGTTGTCCAACCCCTGGATGGCGTCCGTGGTGCCGGATTGCTTTCTCCCTCCAAACATGTTACTGGTGAGGAGGTCCAGCCTGGCCACCCTGGCCACGACGACCCTTTCCAGCACCTTTGCCAGGATTGACTGGAGTTGTATGGGCCTCCAGCTTTTGGCATCCGTGTAGGACTGTTTCCTTAGTTTGGGGATGAGGATGGTGTCACTTGCCTTCCAGCTATCTGGTATTCCTTCCCTAAGGGCCCTTCTCATTATGGCGAGGAACAGGCTTTCGTTGGTTCTCCTGAACTCTCGGACGAGTCTGGTGGGTATCTTGTCGGGTCCTGTGGATGCTCCGTTGGGTAAGGATTTGAGCGCTGCGTCGAGTTCTTGCAGTGTTATGTCCTCCGAGGGTTCTTTTTCGATGTGGGTGGTGTTTCTTCGGTGTTGCCCGCCGTAGAGGGCTTCGTGAAGTTCTGCTGCAATGTGGGGGTGCTCACTAGCTGTGGTGCCGTCCTTTCTGGTGAGGGCGGGTATGGGGCATTTGTTGCACATGGGCCGGATGTCCCTGAAGCATTCTGGGTCAGTTTCTTCTTGAAGGGCCCTTCCATTCGCTTCCTTTTTTGCCTCCGCGATCTTTTTCCGGTAGGACCTTTTCAGGTTGAGTATCCTTGGATCACCAGGCTGGTGTTTAATCAGGGACAACAGCGATCTCCTGTCGTCTTCCAGGTGCTTATTCCAGAAGGCTTTGGCACTGGGCCTGGCTCTGGGGGTGTGTTGTAGGAGAAGGCTTGTTAGCGAGCATTGGACCGACGTCGGGTTTGTGTCCGAGGGGTCCATCAGGAGAATCCCTGTCCTTATCTGGTTCCAGTCGGCTTTGTCGTATCCTAGGGTGTCCTCTACCGAGCTTCTCCAGATGATGTTGGTGTTGATCTTGAGGGCCTTGTGTTCTGCGGTGGCCACGTTTATTTTGCCAACCCTACATGTGTTGTCTTTGCCGCTTATGACTATATCGATGGTTGTGCCATTACCCTGCCCGTGATATGGCGGAAGAGTGACCATGTGGGGGTTACATACGTTGAGCGCCCTCTCCTCTATCCATTTTTCCAACCTGGAGCCAGCTGCGTTTCTTCCGGCAGACCAAGTCGGGTGTTTGGCGTTTAGATCTCCGATAATTATGTTGTTGGAGCCCTTGTGCCACTCGTTGGTAGGATCCCAGTTCCCGGTATATGGCCTTTGATAGCCAAATGTAATTTCGATACCTGCTCTCCATAACGTGATGTATTGGGTCGACATACTCCCGACCGCGAACATGTTGACGTATTCGTCCTTGACATAGACGGCGCATCCCCATCTTTGCGCCTTTGTGTCGGCGTAACAAGTGTATCCTTTGAGATTCATCCAATCTCCATTTTCCAGTGGGCATTCCGCCAGCGAAATAATTTTTGGGTTAAGTTTCAGGGAGGACCTTAATAACTCGGTGACCACGTTCATCGACCCGCCGACGTTGTGGAAAATAATATCCGTATTCGCCATATTTAATTGGCGTTAGGGGTTGGGGCCGGTCCCGCCAGTCCTTTGCCTTTATCCATAGTGGTTGGGCTTCGGGCCCTCGTCCTGGAGGGGCAGTGCCTGTCCCCTGTAAAGTGGGAGGTTTCTTCGCAGTTGGCGCACCTCCTAACCACGTGTGAGCAGGTCTTCCCTCTGCCTGCAGTGCAGTACTGCGCCCTGCAGTTGTGGTCTTTCGTATAATGATGCTCGCCGCAGAACTTGCAGACGGCTTGGCTTCTGCAGTGCATGGCGTGGTGCCCGAACTGTAGGCACCTCTCACAGTGGGTGGCCGCATCCTTTCGGATGTACTTGCGGATGCTGCACCGTAGCCCGTATACTGCCAGCGCCGGGTGTGGCTTGCAGAGTTCTTCGGTGAGCCATGGGTTTGCCTCCACCATGATGATGATGGTTGACCTTTCTTCATTCTCTTGTTTCAAGGCCGTAACGGACTTCATCCATTTGGGCTTGTCCAGTAGGCAGAGTTCTGGGTTAAAGGCCGTGAGTTCGTCTTCCAGTTCATTCCAGGCTGGTGAATCGATGTTCCAATCCGCTGGCTCTCAACCGTTTCCTCCCAGGGGTACCCCATTCACGACGATGTTGGTGGCGGGCGTGTCAAGCGTGACATCGAATCCGAAGATGTTTAAGTCGTTTAGGGCCTTGGTGATACCCTTGATGTCCCTCAGGGCTGGTTCAGCTGGGAGGTCCCCCATCGTGGTGAGGACCAGGTGGTCATTGCGGTTGTACTCCGCAAACGCGAATTTGATGCCTGTGGCACTGTTGACTGCGTCTCTGATGTTGGCCGGTGTTCGCCCGGCGGTTCCAATACGTCTTCCCTTCTCAACAGACTTGATGAGGAGCCTTCTTTGCCTTGCGTGGGGGGTGGACAGGGCCGAAGGGGCTGTCTCTCTGATGCCTGGGCCTTTGGACGGGTTTCTTTTTCTGGTCGGCACCAGCTTGAAGCCGTCCGTGTCGATACCTGCTGCTGCAATGGCGGACCAGGTTTCCCTCTTCTTCTCTTTGATTTCCTCTCTCACCTCCTTTTGGGCAGGGGCTGTGGTGGAGTTCCGGACTGGAACTGGGGGGGGCTTTGGGGCTTGGGGTTTGGGGTTGTATGTTTGGATGGGGGGACCGGAATGTCTGGGGATGGGGGGGGGGTCTTGTCTTTGCGGTGGTGGGGTCGGTCTTCTGCTCTGGTTGATGGAGGCGATGATTCTTTCTTCCATGACCCTCATCTTTTCCCCCATGGCGTCTTCCAGGACCGCCAAGTAATTGATGAGGTCTTTCCTGGTGACTGGCCCGTTGAGGTGGTCTTGGGTCATGCCTGTGCTCTCGGGGGTGGCCCCTTCTTGCTCGTGGAGTTGACTGAGGTTGAGTTGTGTCGGGGTCTCTGGCCTGGTGGAGGGTTTACCCGAACTTGTGTTCTCGTAGGTGTCTGGGATAGTTCTTTTGGGGGTCATGACCCGGGCTAGCGGGGAGGAGAATCGAACCCCTTTGCTTGTCCCGGTGTTGGTACGGGCGGTGGTGGTATTGGACCAGGTTACTGGTGCTTCTGAGGAGGGGGGGTCTGTGGAGCCGAGGGAAAACGGGAGGGAGGGGTCGGAGAAGAAGGAGGCGGTGGACGGTGCATGCTGGCTGTCTCCGAGCCCGGTTCTTTCGGTGTTTTGGTTGTTGCCTAGGTCCATGGGGAGTTCGGGGGCGGAGGATTCTGGCACGTATTGAACGAGTGCCTGGGAGGGAGTTTCTGTGGGCTGTTCCAGTTCCATTGCCTTTTGGGGGGGCTGGGAGTCGGGCACCTGGGGGGTGGCTGGGGCGGGGGAGGGCTGATAGGAGGAGGCCATGGCTGCTAATTCCGCGAGGGCCTGTGCGTCGATTGCGCTGACATTTTCGTCTCCGAACACTTTGGCGAGGGCGGTCTGGAAGCCCATGGGGCGGGGTGCTGGTGCCAGGATAGGGGCATTCCCTTTACTATTGTTTCCGGCCAGGTGCACGTAGCAAAGGAGGGTGCAGCCCAGCTCAAGTCTAGTGTTGGGGAAGGTGCTTCCTGGGACGACGTAGCGGTTGAGGATGTCAACTCCCTTGTTGGGGCAGGAGTCGGCGTGGAGGATGGTGGCCCCTTCTGGGACGCAACTCCTGAGGGGGATGCCAAAGGGTGATCTCTGGCCGAGAACGCGGGGGGAAGAGGGTCCGGGGGAGGGGGATGCAGAGAGGCCCCTACCAGGCTGCTCCTGGAGGCGTTTGACGGGCAAGGAGGACATATCGAGGCAGGAAATGGGCAATTACTCCGTCAGTAATTGTTTCCTAGAGTGTTTTGAAGCCTTAGGATAAGCGAGCCTGACTGGCTGCCACGCCCAAGGGAGGGAGGTGGTGAGAAAAAAGCAGAGTAGCAAAATCTGGAAAAATCCTGGTTCTACCGGAGGGAGTGGTGTGTTGGCAGTGCCAAAATGCGAGTTGTGAGGAAAGTATGCGTGACGTGCACCGGGGTGAAAATTGTTCACGTGGCTATACCGTATATTTTTGATTTCAGAAGAAAAGGGATAGCGGGGTGCGACTGTACTCCAGGTAACACCAGATGTCTCTGATTTCTCATTGTTTTGCACTAAATTGATCTCCGAGACACTAATCTCCACCCCTTATGGCCTTATACCTTATTTTAACTTCCTAGCATATCGTCCGCTTATTCAAGTTTTTGCGGTAATCTGAAAGCGCAACGAAAACACTATGGCGATAAATTGATTAGTTAATCGCTGCTAAGACAATACAGTTTGACCCAAGAAACTAAGACAACCCTGAATCAACAGAAAAAGAATAAACCTCTGGAATAGTATGAGATGGAGCCTGAATGACATAACTAGACAATCCCCCGTCTACCATTTTTCATAAAACTTGGTTTATAGTACACAATGCACGTACGTAATTACTAGTGAAACCACGTAATATAAAATGGAACACGAGATCACAAGCCATCCCCAACTACCCCCGCAAACCTCCAACTAGAACATCAAAGCTCCCGCTCCCAACGCCGGATAGCTTCCCCAGCACTATTCTTGAGCTAGGACTAGTGAGACAATCGAAATCGCCTTCGCCCGCGGCTTCAGTGAGGAAATTGCATGTTGTCTCGAAGCTCATCTTCAGGAAAGGGGATACACTCGTCTTTAAGCCTTGACGGTTGAAGGGCGTGAAACCACCGCAGCGGGTCATGATGTCTGCGATGAGGTTTAGGTGGCGAGTATCGACGGAGATACCGTGACTGCTCACACGAAGTGAGTGTTAGGGGGTTAAAAAGGGGGTGACTAGCGGGGGAGGGGAAAATTACCCTGCGAAAACGGCGTTCATCTCTTTAATTATGGTAGCCCTAGCTGCTTCAACACCATAAACGTGGAGGAACGCTGCAATGTCGTTAGTTTCCAAGGTATTCGGATCGACCGACTCCTGCTCGTTCCAGAAAGCACTGAAACTGACACCCTCCACCGCTAATTTACGCTAGAAATCTGTTAGACTCAATTTTGCAAAGCACTTGGGGAGATCCAAAGATAACTCGCCTTGCCGGTAGCCTGCTCCTCCTTTGTCATATCTGCCGCCGGAACCCTTGCTACCGATCCGATACCACCAAGTTCGTGAATCACTGTTTCCCGGCAGACTCTCTCGACGATTGGTAACATAAGCACCTTCGGCGCCTCAACCGGATACTGCAATCTCACCTCACACCATTGGCCACCCTCCTTGTCAAATTCGAACTTCTTGATGTTGTCGGAGATCCAGTCGTGGGAGACAGTAGCCTTCTTACCTCCTCTAGGCTTGTCTACCGCGTTGCGATCCTCTTGCATTCTCGTGTCTGTGCCTAGTCCTTCGTCTGTCTGGTCTTCATCCTCGCTCTCGCTATCAGACGCCTGCGCGCAACGGGAGATCTCCTCTTCGTCGTCATCTGGGTTATCATAGCTAATAGCTTCGGCTTTCCTGCTTCGCTGTCTGACGTCGGTGGCGTCGTCGTCGCCTTCGTCGTTGCTGTTGGCATCTCCGTCCTCAGCATCGACCAAAGCAGTCCGCGCATTCCTTGGTGCTTCCTCAATTGTGCCAGCGCTCTCGCCAATGCTGGGCATAGCGTCGTCTTTTCCGATACGCTCGTTACTCTTTGATTTCTTGAGGTTCAATACTTTGTTTATTGCGCGCTCGAGTTTTCCAATGAAGAACTGTTTGAGGATGTTGAGAACATGGCGTTTAGTGATGGAGTATTCCTCCTCGTAATCTGAAGCTGGGAACAACTGTAGTCGTACAAGGTATTCCTTGGAGGTTTTTGTTAGGTTTTCTGTTATTGAGATATTATCGATGATCTCGGATAGCAGCAGTTTACTGCAGCGTTTGGCGAATACTTCCGCGTCGCGATCTGAGATCTCTGGTTGGAGAGTCAAAGTCATGGTAGGAGTTGCGATGGTAGCGCTGGCTGTCATGACGATTTCTCTCAGTCGTGGAATACCCAATGTGACGTTCTTAGTAGCGTGACCCGCCAAATGGAAAGTGTTGAGCGTCATCTGTGTCGATGGTTCACCAATAGATTGTCCAGCAATGATACCAACGGCTTCTCCGGGGTCAATAACTGATCGCAGGTATTTGAGAGCCATCAAATGCCTGAACTCGCTCTTGTCGAGACCCCTTGACATTTGACTACCCACAAGGTGTTTGCTGCGCTTCGAACTGACAATGATTCCATCGGGGTTTTCCGTTAGGTACTAGTAATTGTCAATTCTGCATCTCAATACCGCACGGGATGTGGGACAAACCTCCTCCCTCGCTAACGCAAAGGTTTCCGAGACACTCCCAAGGTACCGGCTTGGACTGTACTGTGACATTGTAACCTCTGATGCTCCTAAATCACCGGTTTTCTTATATTTCTTCATCGCCTTCTTCATATGCTCAGTGCCCACACCAAGATTGAGCTGCTCGCTGAGCTTCTGAATTCTTGGGCCCAAGTCCTCATTGACAAGATCATCGGCCAATTTCCGTACAACCGAATTGATGTTCTGAGCCAGGAACTTGAACTGTTTCAAATGCTTCTGTTTTGAAACGTCCAACCCATCCTCGCCATAGAGGAACTATGAAAGTGAGTCGATCAGCTAACTTCGTTGGGAGGGGTAGGGGAGCAAACCTGAACCAGCGATCCATCGCTATCTCTCACAGTATTGTCATAGTAGACCTGAATCCCCTCCATGCCTTTGATTAAACATCTCTGCAGGTATCCAGACCTACTCGTCTTGACCGCGGTATCAATCAACCCCTCTCTTCCGGCCATGCAATGGAAATAATACTCCTGAGGCCTAACACCAGTCAAAAAGCGATCGGTAACATATCCTCCGGCTCTAACGTCCGTTTCAAAAGGCTTGAAGCAAGGCAAAGTCTTTCCAGATGCCATCACCGGAACCCTCCGACCCTCGAGGACTTGCTGCCCGAGTAGGCAAGAAATCTGACTCGCATTAACGTCGGAGCCCTTTGCGCCAGAGACCGTCATCGCTTGGAAGTTGTTTCTCGGAAAATGCTTTCGTAAGCCAGATGGAAGACATTGTCCAATAACCTGCGACGTAAAGTTTTTAGTTTGCGCGTTGGCCTTTAGATCCAGTGTCCGCGACTTATTCTCATCTCTCAAGACCTCTTCCAATCTTGCAGCAAGTTCAGTTGAGCTGGCATTGCCTTTTTCCAATCCAACGTATTCTGCGCTCAGGTCTTTCCCGACCCGCTTGGATCCCTTGAGGACATCGCGACGCTTAGCCTCCCCCTCGGGAGTAAGCAAAAGGTCGTCCATTCCACATGTATGCGCCCTCATGTGTAAAAATTTGGTCAACAACCGCCCCAGAATACTCAACATACTTCCAGCAACTGTTGAACCGTATATCTCATAGACGGAGTGTATTAACCCAAACTCACTGGGACCTAGCTGGTTCTTGTCCAGAATACCCGACACAAAGTACCCATCATGAAATATGACCTGCCCCTCCTCACATCCAGGATACCAACTGTCACCAGGAGTCTTCGATTTTGAGTAGAGTGTCAATCCGTGGAAATATTTCGGCTTTATATTCTCCAGAACGGTTGTGATGACTTGCTTTCCGGTCCAGAGTCGTTTCGGTTTCATTATTGACGGAGGTAGCGTGGTAATCCTGCTACTCCTACCCCTGAACAAAGTGTTACTCTCCGGCAGCAGACACGAGTAGAGCAATTGTTGGTACTCGTCCCTCGTAAACATCGTATCCCGGTTCGTGAGCCAAACACCCATTACCAAGTGATCTTGAATCAAACCACGGAGTGGCTTGCCAGAGGTTGGAACAAGGTATTGCGAATCCGTGTTAGCAATTTCCCTTGCCTCAGCTCTAGCAACCTCATTCTGAGGAAGATGCATGTTCATCTCATCACCATCAAAATCTGCGTTATAGGTATTACAGTTGGCGTAGTGCATACGGATCGTACGTTCCCTGGGAAGAACCTTCGCGATATGTCCCATGATAGAGGGCTTATGCAGCGTGGGTTGCCGGTTCATCAACACGACATCTCCATCGAGCAAATGTCTATGGACTTTCTTGGACTTCGAATCACTAAGGGAGAGCGCGTCTGGAGTCAGGAGTGTTTTAGAAAGGTGGATTCTCTTCTGTCGTGCATTTGAAACTTTATCTCCGGGCAACCTCTGAACAGAGCCATTTTCCATCTCAACCGCCACTGCCCCCGGCCACTTATCCGGCCCGTTCACTACCAGTCGCATCAACCACTGATGATTGATTTCTGTCACTGGTTCAGGGTATGTCAGTTTGCTCGCAAATACAGGTGGTACTCCAATCTCTTTTGTCTCAATATTTGGATCGGGAGAGATCACTGATCGGGCGGCAAAATTCACACGCTTCCCCATCATGTTCATTCGGAAAAGACCCTCCTTCCTCTCAAGCTTTTGTTTGATACCATCCTCCAAGGTTCTCAAAGCTGTACCAGTCAGTGGGCTTTTCGATGAGTCCAAGAACGAGTTCACGTCGTCTTGGAGGGTCACGAAGGCTTGCATCAGGCCGCTAATGATGGTGGTTTTCATCTCAACTCCCGTCTCCGGATCGTTGAATCTATCATTGTAATCGCGGATCGCTAGGCACCCCTGTAGAATCTTTACTAGCTGCTTGTTTGTCACTGATTCGGAGATCTCACCCCCGACAGCTTGAGGAGGTCTGAACTTAGTTGGCGGAACTGCAATAGCATGGATGAAGAACATGTCGGGAGTTAGAGGTTTCGGAGTTTTCGAGATAGCTTCTCTTGGTTGATATAGCAGCTGGAGGATTTTCTTCTCATTCTCGAAAAGCCGTGAAAGGTTGTTCAGAACCTCCATGCTATGCAGAAGACGGCCAGCAGCACCCTTCCGCTCTTGCGCTTCCTGGATCTTAGCAGCCTCTTCCTCGCTTTCCTCTCCCCCTTCCTCCCGGGCCGCCATAGAGATCTCCTCATCGAGCTCCATGGCACTAGGATCGTGCTTTTTTGCTTCCAACACGCCGTTAGGCTTCTTCTGCATCGTAGCAGCATTCGGCCGTCGGAAGCCATATTGAACATTCTGATTTTGCGCTTTGTGGCTAAGCGGCAGTTCGAAGATCTTGGAGTACCCATCTTTCCGGAATCCTGGAGAAATTCTACAAGAGATTAGCACAGAGCCCCAAATCTGAGCTGCCATTGGGGGACTTACGCTTGGCATCTATTACACTTCCTCGGCGCCTGAATGTTTCTGAGAAACTCTTTGACAGTCTTCCTCCGCTCTTCCGCAACCGACATAACCTTCCCTTCATCCAAGCCACCGGATCGTAAATGTCTTCGGATAGCCTTCCCCACAAACTTTTCACGTTTCGCGTAAAAAGCTTCCATATCAGTGCTTCCAGAGATTTCATCTTCCTCGCCCTCCTCCCCTCGTCTTGCCTTAGGATGGATATCGTCTAATTCCGCAGACTCGACCAAAAGCCCGTATTGAACGAGCTTGAGTTTGCACTCGAAACGATGGACCTCCGCCCTAGCCATCCGAAAGTGGAAGCAGTAGAGACAGGAAGATCTCAAAATCTTCAACATTTGATCAAAAAACAAAGGATGGTAAACAGGGACGGGTAATGAAATGTGCCCGACATGGCCGGGGCAGTACTTGTAGTCAAGATGACATGTCGAACACCTATAAAGATACCAAGCGCATTAGCAAGACCCGGTTCAACCTAGTTCGGTAGAGCCAGACAGAGGAAGTGAAGGAGAATATACCGCTGCCTCAGCGCATCCGATGCTCCGAGCGCTGGATCGTACAGGCCACCGATCACGGGCACAGGAACCTTTCCCGGGATGACGGTTTCGAAGGTCGCGGGGTTGACAACCTGCTTGACGGAGAGTTTTGTGATGTCCCTTTTGCAGAGGAAGTTGAAATTGACCCCTGTGACCTGCGAGGCTATAGGATTGGAAGTGTTCATGGTGTTTGACAATGCTCGGAAAGCGCAATTATCGGTTGGGGCTGGTGGTTGATTTCCAGAGCGGGACAATTATGAAGCCGATAACTTTCTTGTTGTTCTTTTCTATGATTTTGGCTGTCCTGGGTTATCGAGATTATTCAGCTTACACCCTGACAAGCCAAGCCCCGTATGCAGTTGGGGCGCGACGTATTACCGGTGTCGGGTCCTCTCTCTGGAGCCCGTTGATTGATGGTGTGTTGTGCTTGCCGGATCCCACCTCTTTGCTGTAATTGTGACCTACTGTTATTCCTAACTATAACCTGGTGGAGTATTTACCTGGTGGAGTATTTACCTGGTGGAGTATTTACCTGGTGGAGTATTTACCTGATGGTGAGTTGCCTAATGTTCTCAACAGAGGATATCTCAGGGTGGAAGGACCAAGACCAATAGAGATTAATGAAGGAACTGTTGTCTATTCCATAATTGTAATGTGTGGTTTTCTTATCAAACAGGTAGTTGTAGCTCTTTGTACAAGAGAAAACAAAAAGTATACAAAATCCAGTAATGTTATCTATCGCACTATATATGAAAAGTATTATAAACATAGACCAAGGGCATTGCATCATGTAACTCCTCTACATTATCAGAATAGAGGATTACAAATTCGAAAAAGAGATTTCATATGTTTTATATTCAATTGATACTGCTCTCTAAGTTTTTCTATTACAATATTGTCTCTAGAATGGTAATATTTCTAGTTGTATCTTGCTTTAATTATTATACATATTATTTACTATCCTTCTATGAGACTAGTACTTCCTACTACCCAGTCATTCATATTCTAGTGAAGTATAAATATTTTAACTACAATAGACATTTGTAATCCTATTAGTACAAGCCTATTATCTCCAGATTTGTTGTTCTAATACCTCTGTGAATGCTACAGGTAGTAGGCATTTTAATATCTTAAAATCATATTCACAATTGTTTCTTATATAAATATTTACAGCTTTTTAAAAGTATTCAATAAAGTTAATTTCACAATGGAATTGTCACAAACGGTAACTAAGCAAGGTAGATTTTACATAGTTTGGAATTCCGAGCTATAGGTATATTAGGATTTTACAGAACACACACTAGTACACCATAGGTTACTATGTTTACCTGTTTGTGACTCACACTTGTGAGTCATACGATGTTCTGATTTTCGCACCTGGCTTAAATTAGGAGTCATGGGTTTCACTCAGGTGACGCGAGTTGCACACCTGATTTGGTTATTATGTTTTGATTGGTTTAAGGTATGTTGCGTGGCAACTCATAGGTGTCGGCTGATGGATTTTACATGACTCACAGTTTTGAGTTACAAGGTTCATGTGACACAAGGTATGAGTCACACCAGGTGAAGACCAACTATATAAAGGGTCACTAGGGTACCAAGTATGAGCCCTTTATACATTCTTCTAGTTTATTTCCTACATTTATTATTTTATTATACAACACCTTTATGCTCTCTACTTTACTTTAAGAACCCAGAAACTATCAAGTACCATGTAGGTAATAGCCTAAGAACTATTACCTTTACAAGCACTAAGAATCATTACCTGTCGCACCCCCATGCCTGGTAAGATTCTTAACATTTGAATGTATCTGTAATGTGACACTTAATGGTTATACCATGGATCCCTTCAACAGAGACAGAGAAGGGAATTTGGATCTCCAGGACAATAGTCTAGGACTAGGGGGATTGGAAGATGCCTTGAGCGAAGTAAGTCATCAATCAGCAAGATCTACAAGTCTAGTTACACCAGAACCAGTTACTCCCTCAAATGCAGAGGAAGTACCAGATACACTAAGACCTGAAAGAATGTCAGGACCAGTACCCCCAGAAGGCCTGCCCCCAGCTGGACCGCCACTTCCAGCCATGATTCTATGGGAACAAGTAGAACAAATGATACGAGAAGCAATGGGAGGAGTGGGTCAAAGACCAAAAGTCAAAACACCTCTCAGGTACGACAGCGAAAGAAGCAAACTCGGAGGATTGATGGTCCAACTCCTTACCTACTTTGATGCAGTAGGATGGATACAAGGAAATGGCGATGATAAGATACAATATACCTTAATCCTACTCGAAGGAGCAATACTACAATGCGTAACACCCGTAGTAGTTAGTCAGACACTAGTACCATGGACCAACTGAAACAGTTTCAAGATAATATTTGTAGTCCAGTTTACAGATATAGCGCTGAGCCAATTGGCCAGAAACAAACTGGAAGAAATCAATCAAGGAAGAAGAAATCTTACCAATTACTGGTACAAATTCAGACTACTTCAATACAACGCTGAATGCAATAAAGCATCTGCTATCAGGTGGTTCATGAAAGTCTTGAAGAGAGCCTATTAGGATGCATGGAAATCCATTGAGAAGAGATTTGTGACCACTGCAGCTATGGCCCAGTAGGCCATTCAAGAAGAAATTTAATTTGGACAACTAGACTGAATTCAGAGAAACAAGTCAACTACAATGCAGGCTAACAACCTGAATACGAGGAACCGCAGTTCCTCTAGAAATCAGAATAGGACCTTCCGAACTACCACATAAGGAAGAGGTGCAATAGTCCTGGATGTGACCAGGAGAAGACCATCACTAAACCTCTCAAAGGAAGCATATATTCATTGACGAAACAATAACTTATGTCTAAAATGTGACCTATCAGGACACGTGATTAAGGACTACAAACGACCAGCCAATACAAATACAACTCCAGGAAAGGACTTTAGAAACGCCAGACCAAATAATAGGTTCTAACCATGCAGCAATATATGGGAAATAGAGATCGAAGATGAGTACGAAGAGGTGGCAAAAGATGAAGGTCCCTAGCATTCGATGGTCTGTGGAACCCAATGAGAGACAAACATATCTCCTTGTCCAACTACTATACGATTTTGAGGACAGACATGAAAGAAAATAACAATGATCATATCATGATCGAAATGAGAATATATAATGACAAAAAACAAGTAATGACAATACATATAATAATCAATTCAGGAGTGACAGAAGACTTTATCAATGAAGAAATATGCATAAAATTTCACTTGGGGACTAAGAAAGGATAGAAGGCAAGACAGATTTACCTTGCGGATAGAAAGCTCAGCACTATAGGACCTATTACCCATACCAGGCAAGTACCCAAGCCTATTGAAATTGGAAACTATAGGGAAGTGGCAACTTGCCAAGTAGCAAACCTTCAATACCATAAGATCATGCTAGGGATGCCATGGTTCTGACAACCCAATACCACACTAGATTGGAAAGAGGGAAAAGTTATCTTCACCAGCAAACGATATACAATATGGTGTCTCAACAGTTCACTGGTGGTATAGGCAATCTGGGAAGAAGAAGGAGAGGAGGAGAAGTTAGATGCAAAGTTCAACCAAGTCCAATCAAGAAAGGATCGAAAGATGAAAGTCTAAAGATGAAGCCCACTAGGTAAAATACCAACAAAAGGATCTAAGAAAGTGGCAGGACATGACATGTATACCAATGAAGAAGTTACAATCTCAGCTAAAGGTCAGGTAATTGTCCCAACTGCAATAGCCATAGAGCTACCTCAAGGCACCTATGGACGTATAGCACCACGTAGTGGTCTTGTAGTTAAATGCAGACTCACTACCAATGCTGGAGTAATAGATACTGATTATACAGGTGAATTGAAAGTTGTCATGGTCAACCAGAACAGTAAAGACTATAAGGTAGAAAAAGGCGAAAAAATCGCACAACTGATTATAGAGAAAATCAATGAACTGGAACTCCAAGAAGTAGAGAACCTAATCATGACTACACGAGGAACCAAAGGGTTTAGCAGTACAGATAACAAGAAGGCAACCAAACAAGACCAACCAAGGATTGAAATCAATAGGATATAAGCACTGGCACAAGCATTCGGAAAATTCGGGAGCAAAGGAGAAACAGCAGAAATCCTCAAATGAGACATCCAAGGTGAAGGAACAAGTCTAAGCAAGATCAATATCAGTACAGAGCTAGCTATAAGGAACTGACTCCAAGTAATAGAAGAACGATTGGACAGGGTAATGCTAAAAGAATACCAGCAACATTGAGACCTATTCAAAGAAAAAGAATCCACCATATTACCACCTCATAGGTCCAACATGGACTGGGAAATAAGCCAGGAGGAAGGTAAAAGGATATCTCAGAGAAAGATATACCCGTTAGGAGAAACAAAACTTGAAGACCAGAGGAAATATATTCAATAAAACTAACAAAGAGGGTGGATTAAACAATCATATGCCAATGGCGGATCACCCATGTTGTTCATCAAGAAAAAAGATAGAAAACTAAAATCATGCATTGACTACCGAGCACTCAATAGCAGAACTAAGAAAAATAGATATCCTATACCTCTGATTAGAGAAGTATTGGATCGAATAGCATTAGCTAAATACTTTACCAAATTAGATATAAGAGATGCCTAGCACAATGCCAGAATCAAGGAAGGGGATAAATGGAAGACTACTTTTGCCTCAAGATATGGAACATACCAGTACCTGGTTGTAATGGGGAATGCCTTAGGTAGATGGTTCCTAAGAATGGGACCGCACTAAACTTTTAATCTCTTGAACACAGGTCTTGCAAAATGTAAAGAATGAAAGTAAAATAGTAAAACTTTATATGAGTGTGGTTTTGTTAGAACCTATAATACATATGAGCTTTTTTGGTTGTTAGTGGAAAAACAGGTTTGAATGGTTGCAACCTGAGAAAATCAATCTTGAGATAAACACTTTTTTCTTTTCCTTGATAGGAGAATTACTTCTCTTCTATGATGAAAAGGTTTAAAAATAATGTAATTCGATTAAAAAATTATTTACCATGTAGAGTATATATCTATGATTTAAGATTTGCGAAAATATATTATTTACATGGTTTTGTCTACTATGTTTATTCATGGATTCCCAATGTTACTGTCTTTTATATTTTCTTTAAGTTATTTCAAGCAATCCCTCCTTAATTAATAGATCTTTTCTTAGATGCTTAATTATTTGGCCTTCTTATGACCATACCTTGGAACTTGTGGCAAGAATCTTATTCTTACTGGATGTCACGAACTGTGACTAAGCAAGACAGATTTCACATAACACAGGCTTCCGAGTTATGGGTATGTTGGGATTTCACATGACGCACATTA